TGTACAAAATTGCCAAAACTAAAAGTACATTTTCTGTGAATACACCCTGTCCTTTTGTATTCCTTCTATAATAAAGATGATCTACCAGAATTAGCCATGGTCATAAATTTGATTTTATATAATTTTTTTTTTCTGAGGCATAAACAAAAGAGCAATTTTTTGTTTTTAAAATATCATACATTGATTGGAAGGGGTATTGAAATAAATTGACTTGCCTCTGTTTACTTGTTGGTGTAATAAAATTTTGCAATTTATATTTAAACTTTTGCAAAAAAATTATATGAAAGATTAAAATTTTAATAACAGCAAAAACATAAATTTTAATTAAAAATTGTTACTTTAACTTGTTCATTATCTGCATACATGAATACTTAGTATATCAGTATGAGTTTGCAATTTAAAATTACAACAATTAAATGTTGAACATTAATAATGTTTGCTTGAGAATTAATGACACTTTCTATTTAATAAATTTGTTGTTATGATATATTTTTTTAGTTTTTAGTTAATTAAGTATAAAATTATGCATATTATATGAATGTTTTCTTTTTTTTAATTTATAAATAGTTTTAATAATTAATTCAAGTAATTTAAAGATTTAGTGTGATTACAACTGCAGCGACAAGCGATGTAAGATGAGTTAAAGTTTTGAAAAATCGAAGGGAGATTGAAATTATTCTTTAGGTTATAGGAAATACTTTGGTGATTTTCATATTTAAAATTTTACTTTTAGAGAGCAGTAGAGAGTAGGGTTCTATAAATCGACTTTCGAATAATCGAACAATCGACTTTTTGTCGAAGTCGACTATTTTGTTCCAAAAAAGTCGATAACTCGACTATCGTCTGTGAAAAAAGTCGAAAAGTCGACTTTGTAAATAAAAGTCGAAAAGTCGATAAGTCGAAAAAAGTCGTAAAGTCGTAAAAAGTCGAAAAGTCATAAAAAGTCGAAAAAAAGTCGAAAAAAGTCGGAGAATGTCAAAAAAAGTCGGAAAAAGTCGAAAACTCGAAAATAGTAGAAAAAAATCAAAAATAGTCGAAAATTTTAAAAAAGTGGAAAAAGTCAAAAACTCTAAAATAGTCGGAAAAATCGAAAAAAATCAAAAAATAGTCGAAAAAAGTCGAAAGAAGTCGAAAATAGTCAAAAAGTCGAAAAAAATCGAAAAGTCGACTTTTCGTTTCAACTATAGAACCCTAGTAGAGAGTTCGTCCAAAAATAACTTTTAAAAGCTTATCATCAGCCGATCCATATAAAACTTTTAAAAGCTTGTAGTATTTGTAAGCTTTAATAAATCCGTCGCCTATCGCTGCAATTGTAATTTAAGTCGTTAAGTTTAAGTTATAAGTCAGTTACAAATGTTTGAGTTTATTCATTATAAAATATTTAAATTCAATGTGTCTTTAATTGTTTCAATATAGTTTTACAGACCAAGAGACATGTCTGGTGTAAAAAAGCACAAATGAAGTAATTAAAATGTAAAAAAATCGTATTTTTTTATTAATTGTAGTTAAATGCAAATTACAAGCTATAATAAGGGATCATAAAAAAATACATTAATGCTTTGCCATACATTTAATTGAAATGATGGAAAATTTCCATTAAAATGTTTCTTAAATATTAACATTACATGACATAATTTTAAAATATATTATTGGCGCCTTTAATTAATAATTTATTGGAATTTCTAATTTATTTTTAGTTCTTTGTTTCTAAATCTAGTTTATGTTTCTAACAAACATTGTATTAATTATTTTATTATTTATCATTTATTTAAAAATTATACTTTTTATTTTATTTAAAATAATTGTCTTAACGTTCAGTTTTTTTTTCGCTACTATTGTGGCAATTAAATGACAAATAATAATTTATTTAAATCAATTGAATGTCTTTTATAATAAAAGCACTCATAAATTAGAAAAAAAACTGATAAAAAACAAAGATTTTTTTCTCTACATATTTGATTGAAAACATATTGCAAGAAATCGTATACTATAATAAATAAAATTTATTGCACTAAAAACACTAAACAAAAATTTATGACATTCTTTGGAAATTCAGTTAATTCTGTGGAAAAATATATTTTTTTCAAGAATTTTTCAGTAACTTTTTAGAATTAAACATTTAATTACATTTTTATTTTATTGAAAAATTTAAAATAAATTTTCTCTTAATTCTTTACAGATTTTTATAAAAAATATTTTCCAGAATTTTAAACAAAAATAATTGCAGTTCAAAATTTAACAACGAAAAACTAATTTGTAAGGGTAAGTCCAGAAACTTATTTTATTCTACTAGTCTGATTATAAACCTTTTAATTATATATACGAAAACTTTATTTAACTCAATTAAAATTGATAATATTCACCTATTTATAACGCCAAATCGTTTAGCATAAATAACTTTATCGTGGAAAAATTTTTATACAAAAAGCTCTTGATTTCTTCTAAGCCTCAACAATTTTCTATAGAATTTTCGATTCTCAAAAACTATCTCCACAATTCTCTATGGGAAACTATATATTGAGTGTGAACAATTTTCTATGAAAAACTTTTGAGTCTGAACAAGTTTCTATAGTAAACTCTTTAAATTCAAACATTTTCTTTGGAAAACTCTTGAATCTCAACAATATTCTATAAAAATCTTTTCAATATCAATAAAGTTTAATAGAAACTTTAGAAATCTCATTAAGTTTCTATAAAAAACTTTAGAATCTACGCAATTTTTCCTTGAAAACTCTTAACCGTTTTCTATGGAAACTAACCAATTTTCAATAAAAACCCTTTAATATCCACAATTTCTATAGAAAAATCTTTGAGTTTTAACAAGTTTCTATAGAAAACTCTTTAAACTCAACTAGTCCGTCTCAATAATGTTTTATGGAAACTCTCAAAATTTCAACCATTTTCTATAGAAAATTTGTCTAGACTAGAGCAACTTTTTCTATAGAAAAGTTGTCTAGACTAGAGCAACTTTTTCTATAGAAAAGTTGTTTTCTATAGAAAAAGTTGCTCTAGTCTAGACAACTTTTTCTATAGAAAAGTTGTCTAGACTAGAGCAACTTTTTCTATAGAAAAGTTGTCTAGACTAGAGCAACTTTTTCTATAGAAAAGTTGTCTAGACTAGAGCAACTTTTTCTATAGAAAAGTTGTCTAGACTAGAGCAACTTTTTCTATAGAAAAGTTGTCTAGACTAGAGCAACTTTTTCTATAGAAAAGTTGTCTAGACTAGAGCAACTTTTTCTATAGAAAAGTTGTCTAGACTAGAGCAACTTTTTCTATAGAAAAGTTGTCTAGACTAGAGCAACTTTTTCTATAGAAAAGTTGTCTAGACTAGAGCAACTTTTTCTATAGAAAAGTTGTCTAGACTAGAGCAACTTTTTCTATAGAAAAGTTGTCTAGACTAGAGCAACTTTTTCTATAGAAAAGTTGTCTACACTAGAGCAACTTTTTCTATAGAAAAGTTGTCTACACTAGAGCAACTTTTTCTATAGAAAAGTTGCCTAGACTAGAGCAACTTTTTCTATAGAAAAGTTGCCTAGACTAGAGCAACTTTTTCTATAGAAAAGTTGCCTAGACTAGAGCAACTTTTTCTATAGAAAAGTTGTCTAGACTAGAGCAACTTTTTCTATAGAAAAGTTGTCTAGACTAGAGCAACTTTTTCTATAGAAAAGTTGTCTAGACTAGAGCAACTTTTTCTATAGAAAAGTTGTCTAGACTAGAGCAACTTTTTCTATAGAAAAGTTGTCTAGACTAGAGCAACTTTTTCTATAGAAAAGTTGTCTAGACTAGAGCAACTTTTTCTATAGAAAAGTTGTCTAGACTAGAGCAACTTTTTCTATAGAAAAGTTGTCTAGACTAGAGCAACTTTTTCTATAGAAAAGTTGTCTAGACTAGAGCAACTGAAAACAATTTCTATAGAAATCTTTTGTCTGATCAATTTTCTATAGAAAACTATTGATTTTCAACAATTTTCAATAGAAAACTCTTGAGCCTTAATAACTTTTTATAGAAAGCATTTTAAATGTTAATTATTTTCTACAGAAAGGTCTTGAGTCTAAACAAATAAAACTCTGGAGACTCAACATTCAAAAAACCAAAGTTCTACCTAGAAAGTTTTTATAAAAGATTTCAATCAAAAGCTTTGTATAAACAACTTTTACTAAACGTTTCTGATAGAAAAGTTTTGTGAAAACTTTTATAAAAGGAACGTTTGTTAAGTTTATTATAGAAAGCTTTTGTTAAAATTTTTACTTAGAACATTTTTGTGAGCAAGATTTTTCTATCAAAAGCTTTGTATTGACAACTTTTGTCAAAAGTTTTAAATAGAAAGATTTTGTAAAAAGTTCTACTTGAAAAACTTTTGTCAAAAGTGCAACATAGAAAACTTTAATTAAAACTTTACATATATAGCTTTTGTTAAAAGCTTTATATAGAAAAAACAACATTCATAGAAAACGTTTCTCAAAAGTTGTATATTGATTTTCTTTTTAAAAAGTTTTTTATTGCAAGCTTTTGTAGGAAAAATTGTTATATAAAAAGCTGTTGACCAAAGTCAAAATATTTTTCAAAAGTTTTATATTGAAAATTCTTTTGACAGTTTAACATTGAAAACTTTTTTTAAAAGTTTTTTATTGAAAACTTTTTTCAAAAGTTTTTTATTGAAAACTTTTTTCAAAAGTTTTTTATTGAAAACTTTTTTCAAAAGTTTTTATTGAAAACTTTTTTCAAAAGTTTTTTATTGAAAACTTTTTTCAAAAGTTTAATATTGAAACTTTTGTCAAAAGTTTTCATATTGAATGTTTTGTATGGAAAAGTTATATATAAAAATTTTATATTGGAGGTCGACTGAGTCGAGTTAGTATTGACTTAGTAGAAAATTTGTCGTTCAAACATTTGCCTAACCTATCAAAACTTGTTTCATAAAAAGCTTTTTTAAAGCTTTATACAGAAAACTTTTTTCTAAAATCTTTCAAATTGATGATTTTTTAAACATTTGTACTTACTTTTCCATATCCTTTGGATCCATACCACTAGGATTTCTACTAATAACATTCGTTTCAAAAGGATCTTCAGTAGTGGGTGCGTCAGACCCCGCACTGGTGGGTGGTGCCAAAGGATAACCACGTCTTGCGGGTATCATGGCAGGTGGGGCCAAAGTTGTAGTTGTTGTCTTACGTGTAGGAGCCGAAGTTGGTACCATTGCTGGACCATAACCACGTCTCGACCAATCAGGTAAAGATTTTACCCCTGTATTACTAACAAATTCCACATCATCACTATTATCATCACCCTTACCGGCATGTGATTGAGTTTGTGTAGGACCGAAAGTGTTTGTATGAACATTATAGGTATTATAGGCCCAATCATCGTGGGCATTACGACGAGCATTATAACGTCTTTGTATGGATTTATTGTAATAATCTTTAGCACTTACACGTCTTAATTTAGTGGAGCTGCCAAGTGCTGTTGTATTCTTTGGTATGCTATTCTTAACATGTTCAATAAGTTCCACTTGACTATTGGGATTTTCTAGATGTGTGGCTATTGAAGCTGTTGGTGATTTTATATCTAATTTTCTAGATTGTCTAGCTGTACTGATGGGGCTGCTTAATAATTGTTGTTTTACTTTTGTTAGATGTTGTCGATGATGATGTGGATGTTGATGTGTTTGTTGTTGTTGTGCTAAATGTTTTAGATGTTGCTTTTGTAAATGTCTTGTGTCTAGTGTTTCAGCTAAAACTGATAAAACACAACATAAAACAATTATTGTTATATGACACATAAATTTAGCAACTTTCATGATGGTAGTTTTATTTTGGAGGAGTTTTAGTTTGTTTTAAGATTTCCTTAATCTAGAGCTGTTTGAGCTGGGGTCTCCTCAGCGGTTTTGCTCCTTGTTGCCTGGAATCTGACGTTTGGTTGTTTTAAAACAAAATAAATCTGCAAAGATAAAAAAGACATTGTATAATTTTTAACAAAATGTGTTAAAATTAATAACTCCGATAAGCTAATAAGCTTCCTGTATGAATCATTATACCCTACACCACTTTAGTGGGGAGGGTATATTGGGTTTGTGCTGATGTTTGTAACACACAATAATATTGGTTCTATACCCACCTTAAAGTATACCAATCGGCTTAGAATCATTTTCTGAGTCGATTTAGCTATGTCCGTCTGTCCGTCCGTCTGTCTGTCTGTCCATGTAAACCTTGTATTCAAACTACAGGTCGCAATTTTGGAGATAATTCAATGAAATTTGGTACATGATCGTCTATGGTACCGGAAACGAAGCCTATTGAAAATGGTTAACATAGGTCCATTATTTCACCTAGCCCTATACAACTGAACCCGCCGAATAGGCCTTTTAAGTTCTTAATTATGTTTAATATACTCCTATCTCGAAAAAAAGCTGTAAAACCAAGTTTTATACTAGCCTTAATAACCCTCATGAATTTTATAATTATAGGACCTCATTTGACTCTAGCCCCTATGAAAGCCCCCTTCAAAATTTTACTTAAATATCCACAATTTTATTCCACAATAAATGGCTTAAGTATAGACAAGGTACAATTCAACTTAAATGCTTCATTATTAAAACTAAATCACATTTTATTTTTGTAACAGGTGTAGGGTATTATATGGTCGGCTTCGCCCGACTATAATTTCTTACTTGTTTTTTCTTGAAATGTCCTCAGTTATGTGTGTGTGTGTGGCAAGAATACCTAAAACCACAAGTGATCAATTTTGCTACCTTAATATGAAATTGTTGTCATCTAAGTTTGTTTTACGCCTTTTATTTTGTCTCCATATTTTTCAATAAACATACATCATCATAAGATATAAATCTTTCTTAATACCACAGCACAACCATTTGTGTCCATTTGTTTAATTTAACCAATCAACCTAACGACCAACCAATCGACCATTTAACTGACCACTAAATGGTTGTTCATTCTCACTGGCTCAGTCTAAAGACAGCATACGAAATCATGTCCACAAAGCCACACACAGTGTCTGAATTTATGTTAAATCCAAAAATATATTCTCTTCTCTACCTCTCTACACTCCCTCTATTTCTTTTAATTAAAGCTTTATTTCTATACAAAAAATCAAAATCAATATTGCATTTAAATTTGAAAATAAAGCTTGATTTAATACTTTTTTCTAAACAAACGTCAATGTTGCTTTTTTGTACTTTATTCATCTTTCCGCTTCGTTTGAAATCCATTGTGACAAGGTCACTTTCATTCATTTTTAAACAAAAAATTTTATTTGAATTTGTTTTGATTTAGGATTCCTTTAAATTTAATATTTTTTTTTTTACTTTTTTGTGTTCGTTTTTTTCTGGGAATTTTATAGTTTTATATAAATTTTATAAGAATTTTATATGAATTTTTATTTTATTTGAACTTGACCATAAACTTGAAAATAATTTCAAGGAAATTTTAATATTTTCAAAGCAACAATAATTTAATGCATATTGTTTTATCACTGCAGCCAGTTGTTATAGAATTTTGAAATTTTAAGCAAATTTTTTTTAAGTTTAGTATTTCCGTTTCCCTTAGGGTGTGTGTTATAATTTGAATTATTTGTTAATAATGACAACTTATTAAATATCTTAATTTAATAATTTCTAAATAATTAATTAAAAATTAAAAATGTTAATTTAGTTTTTCGAAAACATTTAAATAACACGTTTAAGGAAATGGCAAAAAAAAAATATAAAGTTTTATTGCATTGCAGTTTTAAGCATTCGGTATTTTCTTATATTTCTCTACTAGCATACCCTGGGTGCTTCGCTACCCTAACTTAAATACATTCAAAATTTTGTTTACTTTTATAGAAAATTAAAATTGATTGAACATTTTTTTAATGTTTCAGTTTTATACGTTCAATATCACGTGATTAAATTCGCATTCAGTAAGAAGCTTGTATTTTTAGTTTCATTCATTTAGCTTCCACATTATAAAAAATTTCGAAAGTACTATTTGAAAAAAAGTACTATTTTAGAGAATAGATCATCATTTAATCAAAATTTTATGTTTCTGTGTTCAATATTATAAACAATTCAAAAAATATAATTTTAATGAATGAAAAAGTACCAAAAGTCCCGTTCAGAAGATTCTCATTCACTAAGGTTCCTACATTTTAAATTTTATTTTCAATATCTATGTTCAATATCGTAAAAATATCAAAAAATACCATCGGAAAAACGAAAAAGTACAAAAATCTCTCTCAATAAATTCTCATTTAATAAGGACCGTGTGTTCCGGTTAACCATTATAATGAATCTAAAAGGTACCATTTGAAGAATAGAAAAGTACCAAATAGTTCCCACTTACAGAATATTATTCAGTCAGGACCATGTATGTTAAAATTAATGTTCCTTAATGTTGAATATTTTAGAAAATTAAAAAAAAGTACCATTTATGAGATAAAAAGTACTAGAAAGTTCTCTCTAAAAGAATCTTATTCAATGATAATAATCATGTGTTTTGAATTCATATTAAAGAACATACAAAGATTATCATTTGAAGAAAGTAAAAGTACCAAAAGTGGAATAAATTTTACCTAAGTGGAAAGTACTAATAAAAAGAGTAAAAATTTTCCCCTTTTCGCTTAGAAATACACTTTTTCGAGAATTAAGTTTACAAAGTGTTCCGTATTAAAATCTATATATCACAGATAAAACTCAAACGATTCAAATCTACATTCATTTGTTCCAGAAAAATAGTGCTTTCAAAAAGTACCAAACAATTTACTCGAATTTGGTCCTATATAGGCCTTAGTACTCGAATTCCAAAATAATATACCAACATCTTATTTTGTGTGAGTAAATAAACTGCTTTTTCTAATTTTATAAAAATAGACTCAATGAGTTTGAATAAAATTAAATTTCCCGTTTTTTCCCATTATGGTACTTTTTTCCTCAGTGAAATAGCAAAAATTTTATTACAATAAACATTACAGAATTAGACCGTAATTTAATAGGAATAATTCAATAAACTGAAAAAGTTTTCTTAATGTGCTAAAAAAAAGTATAGAAAATCTCAAGAATTTTCTATAGAGAATTCTTGAGTCTCAACCAATTTCTATAGAAAACTCTTGAGTCTCAACCAAATTCTATTGAAAACTCTTAAGTAGCAATAATTTTCTTTGAAAAAAGTCTTGAGTCTTTAAACTGTTCTTTAAACTCTTGAGTGTTAACAGTTTTCTACAGAAAACTCTTGAGTCTCAAACAAATTCTATAGAAAACTATTGGGTCTCGACAATTTTCTATTGAAAACTCTTGGTCCGCGAGGAATATTATATTCCCCAAAAAAACTGGAAAAAACAGGGCCCAAATAACCCAGTACCGGCGGCAAGTCTACTCGCGAGTCACGTGTCGTCGTCATCCTGTTTTCTAAAAATAGAAAATTTATGGAAAATTCTCTAAAAATAGAAATTTGATCGAAAATTTATCGAAAAGAGAAAGTTTATAGAAAATTATCTTAAATTAAAAATTGAAAATTTGTCGAAAATTTTCTAAAAATTAATTTCTCAACCAAATTCTATTGAAAACTCTTAAGTAGCAATAATTTTCTTTGAAAAAAGTCTTGAGTCTTTAAACTCTTCTGTAAACTCTTGAGTGTTAAAAGTTTTCTACAGAAAACTCTTGAGTCTCAAACAAATTCTATAGAAAACTATTGAGTCTCGACAATTTTCTATTGAAAACTCTTGGTCCGCGAGGAATATTATATTCCCCAAAAAAAACTGGAAAAAACAGGGCCTAAATAACCCAGTACCGGCGGCAAGTCTACTCGCGAGTCACGTGTCGTCGTCATCCTATTTTCTAAAAATAGAAAATTTATTGAAAATTCTCTAAAAATAGAAATTTGATCGAAAATTTATCGAAAATTTTTTAAAAAGAGAAAGTTTATAGAAAATTATCTAAAATTAAAAATTGAAAATTTGTCGAAAATTTTCTAAAAATTAAAAATTTATCAAAAATTGTTTAAAAATATAAAATTTATTGAAATTTTTATAAAAATATAAAATTTATTGAAATTTTTATAAAAATAGAAAATTTATCGAAAATTCTCTAAAAATAGAAAATTTATCGAAATTTTTTTAAAAATGCAAAATTTATCAAAAATTCTTTAAAAATAGAAAATTTATAGAAATTTTTCAAAAAATAGATAATTTATGGAAATTTTTTTAAAAATAGGAAATTTATCGAAAATTTTCTAAAAATAGAAAATTTATCGAAATTTTTTTTAAAATACAAAATTTACCAAAAATTCTTTAAAAATAGAAAATTTATCGAAAATTCTCTAAAAATAGAAAATTTATTGAAAATTTTCTAAAAATAAAAAATTTATAGAAAATTTTCCACAAATAGAAAATTTATCGAAATTTTTCTAAGAAAGTTTATCGAAACTTTTTTTAATATAAAAAATTTTCATAAAGTAGAAAATTTATCAAAAATTTTCTTGAAATATAGAAAATTTTCTCGAAATTGAAAATAAATCAAATATGTTTCTTTTTAAAATTATGACATTCGATATCGAACATGATCTCAGTAGATATGAAATCTTATTCGTATTCGGACCCTGTTTCTTTAAAAAAAATTAATCCAGCATTAAATCTTTTTTATAACTTTTGAGTTCATATAAAAAATCAGTATCAATTTCTTATCTAAAATCAACTTAAACTTTATTTTTTTTTACAATTTATTTAATAATTTAACTGCACCCTACTTAAGGTCACATCCCTAATTAAAACTAATTTATAACATATTTTTTATTTCACCTAATAAATAAACATCTGAAGGTTGAATTTAACAATTTAACTATTGTCTTTTCTAAACAAACCAAAAAAACTACAAAACTTAATTATAATAACAAATTATTGAAATAATCGTCTTAATAATTAATCGAAAAAAGGGCCAAATTGTTTAA